TCCTACTCCTACTCCTCCCCTGCCTCGTCCTCCTCCTCCTCCTCCCCAGTCTCCTCCTCCTCTTCCTCCTCCCCCTCATCATCATCATCATCATCATCATCCTCCTCTTCCTCCTCCTCCTCCTCCTCCTCCTCTTCCTCCTCCTCCTCTTCCTCCTGACTCCTCCTCCTCTTCCTCCAAATCTGCTCCGAAAACGAAACATGTTGGAAGAGAAAAGGCGCTTCGCGGCCGCCACTGGCGCTTTCAAGGCAGGCGCCCCCTCGGCGCCCTCGAAGATTAAACTGGGATTAAATCTTTCTTGGAGTGGTGTAGAGATTGAATTCCGATTTAATCCGTTCTCCCACTGCAAGAACGCACTGCTGTACGGATTAAATCGAGATTTAATCCGTATTAAAATCGAAAAACCGGCCGTTTAGGCCGATATGGGTGGCGGGGACGCATGTGGACGGTGCCACTGGGACCTCCAGTGGAGCTCCTAGTGGAGCCAGGAAATGGTGTGAGGGGTGTGCCGAAATGGGTGGCGGGGACGCATGCGGACGGTGCCACTGCGACCTCCGGTGGAGCTGCCTATGGAGCCAGGAAAAGGTGTGAGTGGTGTGTGGAAATGGTAGACTGATACGGAGAGCAGAAGTCCAGAGGGGGAGGAGGGGGGGCAGCGGGAGGAGGAGAGGTAGGAGGCACTGTCTTTTCAAAACGAGGACCCAACACCACATGATGGTTTGCGTTTGATGGCCTTTTGGGGGTGTTCTTTGGGCCGTTCTTGGGCGTCTGGTGGTGGTCTGGGGCCGTTTGGAGCTTTTGCGTGGCCGTTTGGCCATGAGGAAAAGAAACTAATAGTGCGTTACTGCACTGTTGAGGTGAAAGCTGTGTGGTGTAAGCTCTGTGATAAAAGCTGTGCGGTGTGCGCTGATGAAGTGAAAATTATGCGGTGTAAGCTAGGTTGTGCAAGCTACGTCGTGCAAGCTAGGTGGTGTGAGCGGGAGGTGAAAGCTTTTGGGCGTAAGCTGTGTGTTGTAGGCCAGCTTGTGTCAGATATGTGGTGTACGCCATGTGGTGAAAGCCATGTCGTGTACTCTCAGACGCAGACGCGGGAAAGCGCCACGGGCGGCAACGCGGCACAACCTCGGTAAAGCGCCCAAGCAAGCGGGGCGCCCACGAGGCGGCACGGGCGGCAACGTGGCGCACCCTCGGAATACCCTCCAGGGCACGGGGCGCCGACAAGGTGACACGGGCGGCAACGTGGCGCAACCTCGGGCATACCCCCCAAGCGCGGGGCGTCCACGAGGCGCAGACGAAACGACCACGAGGCAGCATGGGAGGCAACGAGGTGCAATCTCGGCGTACCCCCCAAGCGCAGTATGTTGTGTAAGGTATGTATGTCGTGGAAGCTTGGCGCTGTGAACTCGAGGTCGGTTCGATTGGGCTCAAGCTTTGTTGTGCAAGATACGTTGTGTAGTCCATGAGGCATAAGCTAGAAGGCACAAGCCATGCGGTGTAGGCCATGTCGTGTAAGTTCAGAGCACGCGGCGCCCACGAGGCGGCACGGGCGGCAACGTGACCACGAGGCGGCAACGTGGCGCAACCATACCCCCCAACGCACAGGGCGCCCACGGGGGACACGGGCGACAACCTGGCGCAACCTCGGTATGACCCCTAATGGCACGGAGCGCCCACGAGGCGCCCACGAAGCGGCACGGACGGCACCGTCGCGCAACCTCGGCATAGCACCCAGACGAACGGGCCGCCCACGAGTCGCCCGAGAGGCGCCCACGAGGCGGCAACGTGGCGCAACCTCGGCATACCCCCCAGGGCGCGGGGCGCCCACGAGGCGCCCACGAGGCGGCACGGGCCGCAACGTGGCCCAAACCCAGAATACAGATCAAATCCCTCAACCAAGTCAAGTACAAACCCCCGAGTGCAAGCACCGATTGGGAAACACGCGTACGCGTGCGCTTCTACTTGTACACGTGCGTGTGCGAGAGAGAGAGAGAGAGAGAGAGAGCGCGCCCGTGGCGCACTGCCACAGGGGGGGGGGTCCCCCCTTAGCTACCCCCCCCCCTTGGACCTGCCCTGCCGTACCCCCCCCCGCCCCTCCTTGTTTTTCCACCCTCGGAAGCTACCCCCCCCTCCACTTCGCGCTTCGGAAGCTGCCCCCCCCCCCCCCCCGGCTCCCTTTCCCCAAGGGGGGGGGGCTTAGCTACCCCCCCCTTGAAACTCTCCCGTGCTGGAAACCCCCCTTCCGCCTTCCTTTTTGCTCACCCCTCGGAAGCTACACGCCCCCCCCCTTCCTTTCCCAAAGGAGGGGGGTAGCCAGAAGGCCCCCCCCTCCTTTTTTCCGCCCCTCGGAAGATGCCCCCGCCCCCCCCTCCTTTCGCGCTCCTGAATGCCCCTCCCCCCTCCCTTTCCCAAAAGTGGGGGGGCTTGGCTATCCCTCTCCCCCCCTTGGCCCTCCCCTGCCAGAAGACCCCCCCCCTCCTTTCTGCTCCTCGGAAGTGAAGCTCCCCCCTCCACCACCAAACAGGCGCCGAATACCAAAAGAACTGAGAAACCCAACGCTGCTCCGAGAACAACATAAAAAATCAAAAAGCACGGAACTACGAAAGAGTACGGAAACCCAAAGGAGCACCAAAAACGAAAAAAACGCCACCGAAAAGAACACCAAAAATGAAACAAGCGCCTGAAACCAGAAAGGCGCCGAAAACCAAGAAAGCGCCGAAGACCAAAGGCGTGCCGGAAACCAAAAGAGCGCCGCCAACCAACAGGTCGCCACACTCGAAGGATGTGCAGAAAAACAATGGCGCGCCGAAAACCAAACGAGCGGCAATAACCAAAGGAATGCCGTAAACCAAAAGCACACCGAGAACCCCAATGGCGCCGAGAACCCCAAAAGACCGAAAGCCAAAGGAGCGCCGAGAACCAAAAATGCGCCGAAACCCAAAAGAGCGCCGAAATCCAAAGAACCAACACGTCGAAAACCAAAAGAGCGCCGACAACCACAGAGGCGCCGCAAACCAAGGGGACGCCGAAACCAAAATATGCTCCGACAACCAGCAGGGCGCAGAAACCCAAAGGAGCGCCGCAAACACAAAGAGCGCCGGAAACAACAAGACTCGCCGAAAATCAAAGAAACCCGAACAAACCAAGACGGCGCGGAAAACTACAAATGCTCCGAAAACCAAAAGGAGCGCCGAAAACCAAATGAGCGCCAAAAACCAATAGGGCGCCGAAAACCTATCAGACGCCGAAAACCTTCGATTCGCCGAACACCGACAGAGTGCCAACAAAACCTTAGGACGCCGAGAACCAAAAAGGCGCCAAAACCTACTGCCGAAAACAAAAAACTAGCCAGAAACCACAAGAACACCGAAAACTAAAAGGACCCCAAAAACCAACGATGCCCCAAGAACCCACATATTGCCAAAAACCAAAACGACGCCGAAAACCAAAGCTGCGCCAATACCGGAGCGGCCCCGAAAACCACATGGACGTCCCTTTCCCTTAGACGATCCCTGCCGCAAGTCCCCCCCGTCTCCCTCCCTGTTCGGCTAAAGGAGGAGAATGGCTTGGACCCCTTCCCCCGTGGCTAAAGAAAGGCTCCGAAAACAAAAAGACAGCCGACAACCAAAGGGCGACGAAAACCAAAGACGCGCCGAAATCCCAAAGAGCGCACAGCAGCAACAAAAACACCCGAACACCAAGGAGACGCCCAAATCCTAGAAGGCACCGAATATGAACAGAGCACCGAAAACCGAAAGAGCTACAAAACCAAAAGAAACTGAAAACCAAAGGGATGCCGAGACCCAAAGAACAACCCAAAAGGGCGCCGAAAACCAACTGGACGCCGAACACCAAAAGAGCGCCAAAAGCAAAGGAGCAACGAAACCCAACTGGCGCCGAAAACTAACCGAACGCCGAAAACCAAGAGCCGACGAGCAAGAGTCACCAGAAACCGACGAGGAAGCGCCGGAAACCCAAAGATACGCCGAATACTAAACGACCGTCGAAAACCATGGCGGCGCCGAAAATCAAAACAGACAAAAACAAGAACGCGCCGAAAACCAAAAAGGCACCCAAAACCAGCAAATCGCCGATCTCACCTGCGAAAAAGAGGGAGAGTAGCTTCCGGGAAGACCCCCCTCTTTGAAAGGGAGGCCCGGGCTAACCTTGGGCTCCGGAGAAGGAGGGAGGGGGGGTAGCTTTGAAGCCCCACCCCGTTGGCAAGGCAATCTCATCTGCGAAAGGAAGGGTGGGGGGGTAGCTTCCGAAGCACACCTCCCTTGAAAGGTAAGCCCGGGCTAGCCTTGGGCTCTGGAGAAGGAAGGGGGGGGGTAGCTTTGAAGCCCCGCCCCCCTTGGCAACCACTCTCAGTTGCGAAAAGCAGGGGGTGGTAGCTTCCAAGCCCCCCACCCCCTTTGAAAGGGAAGCCAGGGCTATTCTTCGGTCCCGCCGGAAAGGGGGGGAGGAGGGGTAGCTTCCAAGCCCCCCCCTCCCCTTTAGCTAGGGCCCCAAATTAAAAAATGCCCTACAAAAGGGAGGGAGCACGGGGGTAGCTTCGGAAGCCCCCCCCCCCTTTCCAATGGACGGGGGGTGGCTTGAAGCTGGGGCCCGTAACAGCTATGCACATAGTCATGTGCGAACACATGCATCTAGATACACATGTTCATATGCATGCATCGCCACTGCCAGGTCAGAAACAATCCCTCAACCTTGTCCGAGCTTCCTGCAGCACAACTTTCATCAACTGACAATCCGACAGGCCGACGATCCTCTCCTCCTTCTCCTTCGGTCGGGAATTTTTGCTTAGCGCGTCGCCCCAGCGGCACCGGCGACACGTTATGCCTTGCGAGTGGATAACGTGTCGCTCCGCTCCACGGGGCGGGAGGCTCGGATAAGCTCGGGACGTTGACGCTTGAGGACCAGGTTGCGCCGAAGCGTGGTGGGCCAGAACTGGCGGAGCAACGCGCTAAGCCAAAGTTCCCAACTGTGCTCCTCTTTGCGGCCTGGCTGCTCAGCGACAATCGGCCGCCCGGCGACAATGGAGGCAGGCTGCCAGCGCTGCGGGTGAGCGCAGACATCGAGCCCGCGGAGCTGGACGCCTGCCAAGAGGGACAATTGGGAAGCGGATGCAGCGTTAGGTCAACGTGGCAACAACATGAAGCCATGCAATTGTGACATGGGGCAACATGGCAACACAGACCCAACGGGCCAACGGCTGACAGCGCGTCGTGACTAGAAGACCACTTTCTCCTCTTCCTCCTCCACCCTATCCTCGTCTTCCTCCTCTTATGCACTCCTCTTATTCCTCCCACATCCCCCTTCCTCATCATCCTCATCATTTTCGTCACATCCCCCTCATCCCCCCTCTAGCACCCCTCCTCCTCCTGATCCTGCATATCAGCTTGATCCTCTTGATCCTCCTCCTCCTCCACCTCCTCGTCCCCCCTCTCCCCCATCCTTCTCCTCCTCCTCCTCCTCCTCCTCCTCCTCTCCTCCTCCTCTCCTCCTCCCCCTCCTCCCCCTCCTCCTGCTCGTCCTGCCCCCGTCCCCCTCCGCCTCTTCGTCACCCGCATCCTCCTGCTCGTCCGCCCCATTATCCCTGCATGTTCTTCACAATCCTGGTCGTCCTCCTCACTCACCTTCTCTTTCGAGCGCGTTTCTTTACGCTCGGCGATGACGGGCGCCATGGGGGGGGGAGGGGGGCGGGGGGGGGGTATGACGTAACGCCCCCCCCTCGCCGTGTGGTTCCAGCACCACAGCCGCGCCCGCGCGCACGACGCGACGAGCGACGAGCGACGAGCGACGACGACGACGACGACGACGACGAGGACGACGCGAGCAAAATGTAGGTGGCGATATGCTCCACTGCGCCTTTGTACACATCGCTCGCGTGCACCACAACGCGCGCGAGCACCACAACACTTGCGCACACCGCAAGAACCGTGTGCAACGCAGCGCCTGTGTACACCACAGTGCTTGCGTACACTACAGCGCCGGTGCACATGTGTACACCGCAGCAACCATGTGCAACATAGCGCCTGTGTACACTACAATGCTTGCGTGCACCGCAGCGCCTGTGCACGCCACAGCGCCTGTCTACACCACAGCATCCGCGTGCAACGCAGCGCGACTGTACACCAGTGCCTGCATGCAGGACAGTGCTGATAATCGAATGCGACGTTCTTCCCTCTTCCCTCCTCCTCCGCCTCCACCTCCACCTCCACCTCCTCCTCTTCCTCCTCCTCCTTCTCCTTCTCCTCCTCCTCCTCCTTTTCCTCCTCCTTACCGCCTGTCGTGCGGGGCGGCGCTACAACGCACGTGCGCAATTCAGCGCGCAGTGCACCGCATAATGGTCTACTGAATCGGTCCACTTGGTTCTCGCACGGCCAATTTTGCTGGAGCCTCCTGGACGCAGATGGGAAAAGTTAGGGTGATGCGGGCGGGCTCGGGGGAACTCGTAGATTCCAGCGGCGCTTTGTCCATAAGGATTCCTTTGTATTGTTTTTTTTGTGGGATCCACAAGCGCTCCATTTTGTCATACGGAATCCTTCTAACATTCGATATGCAAGTGTGGCGCTGTGTTGCACACGGTTGCTGTGGTGCACACAGGCACCGTGGTGCACACAGGCACGGCAACGCACGCAGGCACTCTGGTGTACACTTGTGCTGTGTTGCACACGGCTGATGTGGTGTACGCAGGCGCTGCGGTGTACACAACAGCTGTTTTGCCCGCGAGCACGGAGGCACAAACTGACGCTGTGTTGCACGCGGCTGCCGTGGTGTACATAGGCGGCGTGGTGTACACAGGCGCTGTGGTGCACGCAGGCACTGTGGTGTACACAGGCTTTGTGGTGCAGATCGCCACCTACATGCTGGTGCTACCCGTCCTCCGTCATCCCTAGGCATTCCCAGACGCCGCCGGCGCGAAACATGATGTCATCGACCCCCTCCACACCCCCTCAGATGATTGCCGCGATCGGCCCGGGACAAATAACAGGCTCCAGCCGCGTCCGCGCGCACGACGACGATGAGCGACGAGCTACGAGTGATGACGACGACGACGACGACGACGACGACGACGACGACGACGACGACGACGACGACGACGACTGCGGACCAGACTCCTATGCGGATTCTTACGCGGACACCTACGCGGATCCCAGCGTGCACGGCGGCAGAGCCCGGAGCGCACTGGGGGGGAAGCGCTACGTCGTGGGGGGGGGAGCGGGGGCCATGACGCCCGTCATGCCCCAAGCAGCAAAGAAATGGGCTCTTCTCATCCTCCCTTTTACTATACCCCCATCAGAAGCAAGCGCCTTGCTTGTAGCGCCGCCTACACGGGAAATTCGCGCCGGCATTCTCACGGAGCGGCGAGAACCCATGATGACAGATGGCGTCTCGTGGCGTGACAGCACCTCGAGCGCGAGTGCCTCTCCCGTCTGGCGGGAGCGCCACATTCAAAATGCGAGCAGCCGCGCGCAACTCTGGATAGCGGCCGCGAGCCCATGCGGGCAGGCCGAGGGTGATGAGACCTGTTGCGAGTCGCGGGCCGTCAGATTCGAGGCGCGAGCACGCTCTCAATGGCAATGCCAATGCGGCCTGTTCTTCTTATTCCTCCTCTTCTTCCTCTTCTTCTCCTTCTTCTTATGATTACTCTTCTTCTTATCAGTCTAGTACTAGTCGTCTTGTTATGATTAGTATTGGTATTACTATAGTATTAGTATTCGTATTATTGTTGCTAATCGTCTTCATATGTTTCTTGTTTTTCGTATTCGTGTTCTTCGTCATGATATTCTTGATAATATTAGTATTCTTCGTAATAATATTCCTCCTCCTCCTCCCCCTCCCCCGCCCCCTCCTCCTCCTCCTCCGCCCCCTCCTCCTCCTCCTCCTCCTCCTCCTTGTTTCCTCCTCCTCCTCCTCCTCCCCCTCCTCCATCCTGGCCCCTGCTGCTGGTACCTCACGCAGGTGCCGTTCTCCCGCCAATACTTCTCGCAAACACCTCTTTCCTCCCTGCGGTGGCCTCCCTCCTCCCCCCCGTAAGGGAGTCGCGGGCGCGCCTTCAAGAAAGGGGGCGCGGGATCCTCGCAGCCCAGCTCGAGCAGATCGAGGACCGCGGGCTCCTCGAGGGCCATGAGAGGAGGGGAGGCAAGGGGGGTATCGCTGGAAAGTATCGCTAGGGAGGGGGGGGGCAAGGGGACAGTCGCCAGAGAGTAGCGCGGTCGACCGAATAACCAAGAGGCGCAGGCGCCCCGAAGATCTCGTGGCCGAAAGTCGCCACGCAGGCTTGCCCCTGTGCGCACTCAAAACGGCCAGGGGGCCAAGGGGGGAGAGGAGGGAGGAAAGGGGCATCAGGAGAGAGAGAAGCAGGTCGAGGACAGGGGGCCAGGGAGGGCAAGGATGGTAGGAGGGGGAGAAAGGGACAAGTCTTTTGCTGAGGAGGAAGAGGAGGAGGAGGAGGAGGAGGAGGAGGAGGAGGAGGAGGAGAAAGAGGGAACACGACCAGTCAGCATTCCCGGGACGCGCCGAAGAACCCAAGGGGCTCGGTTTCTTCGGGAGAAAGAAACACATCCTTGGCGAGGGGTTCGGGCACGCGGGTTGCACCTGCCTACCACTCTGGAAGAGGAATGAATTGTAAACCGCGGGTGTGCTGGCGCACGGGGTCCCCCCCCAGCGCAACCAGAGGAAACGCGCGAGAGCCAATATTGTGAATGTAGTGCAGCATCACTCTAATAGTAGCTGTGCTAGGGATTTGTACTAGCATTACTTTCACGCTGATGTCTGTCCTTGCCCGAAATCGATATTCTTCCATGTGCACATGTGCCTTGGTCGCGGGCATCTTATGTTTCCGTTCTCCCAAATCCACTGATAGTTCCTGAATCCAAAACCAAGGGTCTATACACTGTTTCCTTGAATGCCCCAATCGCATATCGATAGGACGAGCTGTACTGATGCAGCCAGGTGCAATCTAGGAGCAGCTGCCCAATAGCACGCTGGTATCAGTTGTACTCGAATACTACGGGAATTTTAGCTGGAGGGGTTCGTGGGGTTCCTACGGCGTTACGCGCGCGGAAAACAGGAAACAAATCTATGCGCCGCTTGGGCCCCCAGGTTTAACGACTCGCCGCGAAGTTGGACCCCCCGCGGAAGGAAGAACAAAAATCCGGCTGGGGGGGTGGGGGGTTCAGGCATAAATCGCGCGGGAGATTTTACGAGCGCGCGCCATAACGCGTGCAACACACCTTTGATGCCCACACTGGCCACTCGCGTGCGTCGGCTGCGCGAGCGCGCCGAAATCGCTCCAACACTTCATCGTCGCCATCGGCGTGGTCAGCGTCGGCGCCGTCATTGGCCTGGTCGTCGTAATCGTCATCACCGTCACCTGCATCGCTACGATCATCGTCATGTCTGCCGTTGCCGACTCGCGATCGAGTGCCCGCGCGTCAGCGCGGCCTGCGAAACGCGGTGGGAAGTTCCCGGCGGTCAGCGCCACCGCGGCTAGCGCCACCGCGGCCACGTCGGTCGCGCCAGGCTACCTGGCCGCCCTGCGCGCGAGCCCGCGCGCGCTGGCGCGGTCGCGGCGCAGCGCCAACCGGCGCCAAGCAATCGTCGCAGTCGTCGCCGCGTGGGTTTTGTAAGCCAATGTGCGGGCGGGCGGGTAGGACGATTGCGCGAGCAATGGATTTGACAACCCGCTGCGACCAAAAACTCGCCACACCGCATAGATTCTTCTTTCTTAAAAGAGAACAGACTCTATCCCCCCGGATTATCATTACCCCTTTGCAAACGGTTCTGAATACAAAGATGCGCATTGCAATGTGCAAACGGTTATGCCCCATCGTCCATCCTGAATATAAACTAACTAGTCCCATCCCAGCCGAACCCGCATCCCCCCCCGCCATCCTTTGCACAAATTCTATGCGCGCGCACTCCTTTATCAACAAAAAATCCTTTGCAACATAATATGACGAAGTGCACGCGCGCGCGCGTCGTCGCGCGCGCGAGCCGAAATCTTTCAAAAACCTTAGGGTGCGCAGGGATTTCCAAATCGAGTGCCCAGACAACATATAAAAAAACACATGGTTTCGCAACGCGGTATTCCAACAAAAAGCCCGCGCGAGCTCTTGCAAAGTCCTAAGGAAGCCATGGTTGTTCATAATTTTCATAGAATGCCACTAAGAGGGCTCCGTGCGCGCATGCCGAAAGCGTTCGAGCGACCTTGCGCGCGCGCCGTCGCGAGAATACTCTGCAGCCCAAGAAACGAAGTGCACTCGCACGCACAGGCCGAAATCCGCCAACAACAATCGGCTTCTCAACGACTTCACGAGTGACCAAAGCACATTTTGAAACGAAACAACACGGTTTCGCAACATCAGTTTTCACAAAACCGTGCGCTCGCGCTCTTGCCAAATCTCAAGGAATCCATCGGCTTTTCCACGCTGTCCTGGAATTATGCCTAACGGGCCTCTCGCGCCGCATGACGAAATTATCCGAACGCCTTTGCGCGAGTGCTGGGGGGGGGGGGGGGCGCGATCATGGTCAAATAATAGCATGCGGCTACTCTCGCGCGTCGGCCGCGCGCGCTTCATCACCGACGCGAGAATGTCGTCGTCGTCGCCGGCGCGATCAGCATCGGCGCCGTCGTTGGCCTTGCCGTCGTCGTTGTCAACATCGTCGCCATCGCCACTGCCGCCATCGCGTCTACCGTCGTCGGCGCCGCCGCGGCACCGCGCCCGCCCAAGTCACCGACTCGCATTGGAGCGCCCGCTGGAAGTGCCAAGCGGCCAGCGCCACTGCGGCCGCGTCGGCCGCGCCCAACTAGCTGGCCGCTGCGCGCGCGAGCATGCGCGGGCTAGCGCGCCCGCAGGGATGCACCAGCCAGCGCCGAGCACCCATCGCAATCGCCGCCGCATGGGCTTTGCAAACCAAGTTTTTGGCGGGTGGGTGGGGCGTTTTCCAGGGTGCGGTAGGTGGTCGAACGCGGTGCAGGGTAGTCAGTTGCCCCGCGTAGATTCTCCTTCCTAAGACAGAATAGGATCCACCACCCTCCCGAGACCGGACTAATCGGTCAGGGGGCCGGCATCGACGCCCCCCGCCATCCTCTGCCAAAACCTTTATGCGCGCGCGCTCGCTCGTCAAAAACCGTAAGATTTCAAGGATCTCTCGCGGCGAAGAAGCACGACGAAGCGCACGCGCGCGCGTCGTCGCGCGCGCGCCGAAATCCTTCAAAACCTTCGGTTTCGCGAGGGGTTCAAAATCGAGTGTCATTTTTTATTCAAGAAGGTTTCGCAACGCGCGCGTCTAGATCAAGCTCCCGCTCGCGCTCTTGCGAATTCTGGAGAAAACGATATCGACAACTCGTGCAGTGCCCCCAAAAAGGGCATCGCGCGCGCATGTCGAAATCGTTCGAGCGTCCATGCACGCGCGCTCTCGCAAACAATATGCAAAACGCGGGGCGGAGTTCTCGCGCGCGAGAAAAACCTTCGGTGTCGCAAACATTTCAAAACCGAATGCCCCGCCCCGGAACCATGGAAACAACGCGTCGTTCTGGATATCAGCCAGCGTTGACTCCGAATATACTGGACGACTCAAATCAAATAATCAGTGGAATCGAGCGCGCTTGGAATCCGCAACTTAGCAAGCAAGCAAGCGCGCAAGCATGAATGGGGGGGGGCGTCGGAAAAAACGGAAGGGGGGGGTGGGCATAGGCATAGCAGCCATAGGACTTGGGGGGGGGGCATAGGAATTAAGAGGGGGGGGGCAACGGACGCATTCGCAGGGTTTGAGCTAGGACTCCGACAGGGCAGGCCCATTTGAAGAAAAAGCCCACGCACCAAAAAAAACCTGCGCGCGCGCACTTGCGATTTGATTTGATAAGAACAATTAAATTGTTCAACTTCGTCGTTGAATTAAATCTGCCACGCGGGCCTCTCGCGCCGCGCGCCGAAAACATTCGAGCGCCCTTGCGCGCTGGGGGGGGGGGGGGGGTCCGCGTCAAATAATGCCATGCTGCGACTCTCGCGCGTCGGCCGCGCGCGCGTCGATCTCCTTCCAAAACCCGTCGCCGGCGCGAAGACGCCGTCGTCGTCGTCGGCGCGATCGATATCGGCGCCGTCACTGGCCGCGCCGTCGTCGCTGTCAGAAGCGTCGCCAGCATCGCCACTATCGACGTCGCGTCTACCGTTGTCGACGTTGCCATGAGACCATGCCCGGCCAAGTCGCGACTCGCGCTGAAGCGCCCGCTGGGATGCGCCGAGCGGTCAGCGCCGCCGCGGCCGCGTCGGTCGCGCCAAACTAGCTGGCCGCTGCGCGCGCGAGCATGCGCGGGCTGGCGCGGCCGCAGAGACGCACCAGCCAGCCCCGAGCACCCGTCGCAATCACCGCCGCATGGGGCCTGCAAACCACATTGCGATAAATTGCGGGCGGGCGGGTGGGGTGAGCGAGCGGCGGAGCGGGCAACTCACTAACGCAGCTTAGAGCACGCAGATTGCACCGCGACGGTTGCACCGCATGAACCGCGCGCCACCTAGGTTCTGGCTCCTAGAACTTGCAAAAATCAAACGCCGCGAAAAAAAAAACTTCACGGCCCGCCTTCTTCGCAGTGCAAGGCGCGCGTGTTCCTCCGCCATCGCCCATCCGAAATATGAATCCGCAACATCCCACGCAGCCCCTCATCGCCCCCCCTTGTCCACGAAAAAACACTTTGCGCGCGCACTTGTCTATCAAACGTCATCATCTTTCAAGAGCTCCTTGCAACGCACGGGGCGAAATTCACGCGCGCGCGTCGTCGCGCGCGCCTGCCGGAATCCCTCAAACTTGAAGGTTTCGCGAGGTATTCGAAATCGAGTGGGCCGAAACTGCGGGGCAATGGTTTCGCAAGAAGGGTAATAAAAAAGAATGCGCCCGTGGTCTCGCGAACTCTTCATACAACCATTTGCTCTTCAACATTTCAGCAACTGCTGCCCCAAGCGCCTCAATCGTTCGAGCGCCCTTGCGCACGTGCTGTCGCAAGAACCCCCGGGCAAAACGAGCGACGAAATGCCTGCGCGCGTGCGCGCCGTCGCGCGCGCACGCCGAAATCCTTCAACATCAGTTGTAGGGGTTGCAGCATCGAGCCCCGAAAACACACGTATCA